ATAAGATACTTTCATCATCCACGTTATTATGTATTCTTGAAGGCATATAATCAGAGGCTTCTTCATCCGTAAAACGAGCACGCAATGCACAAAGGTTAATCATGTTGTTCATAAGAATCATAATACTTTGACGATTCTGCACTAGAATGTCAAGTTGTTGACACTGATTCGTCAATGAAGAATGACATAATATAATACAATCTTCTTCATTGAAATAATGTTTACATTCTTGTAAATACAAATAACGAATTGATGATGGAAATGTACAATTAAAGAATGATATTGGCAAAGGTAATGATGTATCTTGATGAACAATCAATGTGCGAAGATGAGGCATTCGATTGAGTAAAGCTTGCAATTCCGATTGTAAAAGATCAATAGAGAAATCTAATGAAAGTAATGAGACTTTATGTAAATTTGGAATCATCGACCAGTATTGATCATTGATAGGACATTTTACTGAAAGAGAATCAATGTTTGGGAAATAAATCTTTGATGAAATTGGTTGATTGGAAAGTTCCACATCCGAGATACGACCGATAGAACTATAAAGTCTTTCAATAGTATCTTGTGAATCTGTTGATTTGAACACAATAGGAAGCTTCATACCAATATAATGAAATGCTTTCGACACAGTCTCAAAACGAATATAGTGTCCATCACTTATACATCGAATAAACCACCGATGTTCATCAATCCAAAATGAAGTTCGAAATGAATTCATTAACTCATCAATTTGTTCCTCTGTCATCAATCGAATACGAGATAAATCTGACATTGATAAATGAAATGTTCTCAGTTTTGGTAAATAGTGACGTATGAGATCTGCCCATTGATAACCATCAATGAAATAGGAACCTCTTATTGAAATGTTCAGACGATGTAAATTCGGTGTATTTTGCAAAAATGAAATGATTTCCGATGGAAGAGCTTCAGCAATAAAAATGTTTAAACTGGTCAATGTTGAGAAAGATGATCTTATATAATCGTCACCATTCTTCAAACAATCAATATATCCGTGTAAATATTTAAGATTAGGTGTATATTGAAACAATCGATTGATTGAATTCAAATTTAATTTCTCGGTACCGATAGATAAATATTTGAGTGATGACGAGATCTTTGACGGTAAAATAAACGATCGTTGTCTTGTCTTATGACGAATATTGAAATAACAATGAGTTAAGTTTGGTAAGTTCCAAATATTATTCGTCAGCAATTCGAAATCCGTTTCATCATAATCTGGAATACAACAAGAATAGAACTTTAAATGAGTAAGTTGAACAAGATGAGGTAACTCAATGGCAACTTTTAGTAGAATTTCTTTTGAACGAAGATAAGATAATGAAAGCGAACGTAGTTGAGTGAATTGTCTCAATGATGGTATATAAGAAAAAAATAGATTGATTTGTCCTGGATTTGATTCAGAGTCCGAAAGATGAATAGCAAGAATGTGATCAGCGATCAATGGAATATGTTGTTGACATATTAGATCAAATCTATGTTTGAACAGTATAGAGAAGTTGAAGTAATAACGGTAATATTGCTTGTAGAGAAGAGCATTGATACGAGCATTGAGGCCATAAAATGTATAAAGAAGACTATTGCCCTTCAAACAGTCGAAGACAGTAAGTAAGATTTCATTAGGTAATAAGTTAAAATTCATTGCTTTCTCTTCAATTCGTATGATTCACTTGTATAAATAGGATACAGTTTAACAATGGCCGTCCTTTTTATCGGTCATGATTGATTGTATTGATAAGATATATCCGATACTCCATCTGACTAGTCCAGCTCATCAGTGAAAATGGCTACGAACTATTGGCAAAACACTGATGGAATGAGTTTACCGTATTTATTCTACCCACATTCATATTCATTTCTGCGAAGAGAAACAGATCTTGTTAGTATATTCACTACGAACCAAGTCATTTTCATTTAATTCAAAGTTGTATATTTAGTTTTAATTACCTAAGAAATCGTGTTTTTGCAATGCTTCCTGTAAACGAAAGGGTATCAATTTCATGTTGATACTTTTTATTTCGATAATTAAATAAGATGCGTGCACATTTTGCACCACCCCTTCAACTAAGTAGCTGTTTTGATTTTATCAAGTATATTATCAGCTTCATCAAAGAGCAATAAAAAAAGAATGAATGGAAGGAAGCCACTGAACAACAATATTTAGAGAAATCATCATTAAATTGTTTAATTATTAATCTAGAAGGATTTAAAGAAGCAGCTGAAATGTCATCAAATAATATTAATTTAACACCAGTTAATGAACGTTTAAAAATTTGTGAAGCTATTGATATTATTAATAAGAAAGCACCAGAATTATTTGGTTAAAATCGACAATTAGCATTTCATTTAAAGGTATTTACCCTTTTGAGATTTTTCATATCGTATTATTTATTTTTATTATAGCAACAACAATTAATTGATGATGCTTTATCTTATGCTTAAATTCATTTAGCTGAATTTGCTGAAGATGAAATAATTATGCGACAAGAATTAGAAAAAACTATGGCATTATTAGTTTTTGATAAACCATTAGAATCTTCGTATGGTTATTTAATGCAAATATCACATCGACAATAAGTTGCTAATGAAATTAATAGTGCTTTATTAATTCATCAAAATGAACAATCAGAATCAGATTTATCTATGCTTGTTCGAATGGTTACATATATGCAAGACAAATTAGATGATTCCTAACTATTGTTAAAATTTTGTTTTTTCTTCTTTCATGTATGTTTATTTTATGATTATTTCAAAGAAAAAGAAAGATTTATTTATTATCGTCAAAATAGAAGAATTCCTCTGATTTCCACATGCTAATCGTGTATTAAAATTTATTCGAGGAATTCTTGTTGTTCGTCATTAATTAAGAATTCAATACTTCATTCGAAATTATCTGTGTATGTATAACCTTGATCAAAAGAAAACTTTGTTGTTTTGATAAATGATTGTATAAAAACAGACGCATTATTCTCGTTGATATTAATAATATCTAAATGAAATCTTTCTTCAAACGTAAGATTCGATTAAGTCGTTGTGAACAACCATCACTTGATATTTGAATAGCGATATTAGCTTCAAGCAAATCAAATAATGTATCGCCAACCCATATTCCATTCATTTTTTTATAAATCGATATAGAAAAATGGACTTATTTTCGAAAAAAAGATAGTAGTAATAATATAAGAAGAATGAAAATTTACTTAACAAGTTTTAATGCACACAGATTTTAACTTCAAATGGATTATCACTAAAAATGATCATCTTATTATTTCGTTATTCATGATATTCAATTGTTGTTCATCGAATTCTGAGATATAATATTTCAATCATATTGGATATGATTTGAAAATGAAGTACTTTTCGGCGCAGGTCGTTTGTTCATGATCTTTCTCTTTCTTCATGTGTTGAATTATCAAGTTCGAATATTTTACTAATAGAAACAATAATCGAAACCTGTCAATGAACTGATTCACATTTATTTTTATATTGATAATTTGTTCATCTTTAAAATTCTAAGATAAATATATGTTGTTTTCAATAAGAATTGACAATTATTGAGCAGAGAAAAGAAGTCTAGTCAACAAAACAACATAATTAATTCATGAGATACATATTCATTTGCTTGTTGAACATTAAACTGGTGATATTAAAGAATTTGACTCGACAATATAACTGTTACTTTTGAGAATAAGATCAAATATATTTTATTTTTTCTTTTTACTTACATGTTAGAAATAAAGTACCATTCATTAAAAATGTTCTTCTTTTCGAAAGAGTAAAATTAAAAAACAATTTAATAAAATCTTTAGAAAAGAATTTTAATTTTATTTTTCAATTATTTCGAGATTTTTCTTTTGATAAAAAAAAGATTTCTTTAAATAAACGAGAAACAGTTCATTAAAGAATTGAAATTTCGAATTTATTATTTCGATTTTTTACTAAAATAAAACAAATTCCATCTTTTGTTTATTTGTATTTTAATAAACTATTTTATTTTAATTTGAATATTTAAATGTAAAAAGAATTTTTTGTTTTAAGAAAAAGATTTTCTTAATCTAATCTTTCGATTTTGACAGAATTCATTATTATTCATTTATCTCTTTCTTTTCTCTCAATAAATCATAGAATCACAAAAAATAAATCTAATCAAATTTCTATTTAGAAGTTTTTTTCTATTAATTTAAATCTTTTTCGAATTGAGAAAAAGATTTTATTTGATTTTTCTATAAAAATAACATTTTTTCTAATTGAATTTTCTTTCAAATTCTTTTTACTTGATTCATTTTCGTTCTGTTAATTTAAAATTAAAATCAACAAATATTTATTTACTTTTGTTTTAAAAGTAAAACCAGGTTTATTTATTTTATTAAAAGGAATTTTTTAATTTATTTTTGTTGAAGATTTTCCATAAAGTAATGTTTTTTATTTATTTCAAAAATGAAAATCTTAATTTTATAAAAAGAAATTAAAAATATTTTTAGTATCACATTTTTTCATATTTTTGGATTCGATGATTATTCTGATCAACAACATAAAGATTTTCTTCATCATCAAATGATAAACCTGCGGGACAATTCAATTGATTTGATTGGTGTCCTTCACCAGTTCCACCAATAACAATTTCACCTTCTTCATCTCCTTCACACCAACGCATTACTCGATGATTATTAAAATCTGCTACATAGATTTGACCCACATGATCAACAACCACTCCTCGAGGTTTAAACAATTGGTTGAGACCATTTTCATGACCATTTCCACCAGCAACAATAATTCCTTTTTTTGCATCTTTTTTCCATTTCATTACACGATTATTCAGTTCATCTGATATATAAAGAGAATAATCTTCATCAATAAACATATAAGTAGGATGATAGAGTTGATTAAGATGATTTCCTAGACCATTTCCACCTGCAACCAATTCACCTTCTTCATCTCCTTCTTTCCATCGTCTTACTTCATTCTTGACATAATCAGAAACATAAATCAATCCATTTCTATCTATTGTCAGACCCCAGCAATCAATATTTGAAATAATAATTTGTTGATTTGTTTGATTATTATCAAAATATCGAATTACTCGGTTGTTCCAACAATCAGCAACAATAAAAGAATTATTTTCTTTATCAAAAATGACATCTGTTGGGCAATTCAATTGATTATTTTGCTTTCCATTTCCATTTCCACCTGCAATGATTTGACCAGTATTTGAATTTAATGGCCATTTAACAATACGATCATTCTCCCAATCAACAATATAAACTGATTTATTATTATCAATACAGATCCCCCAAGGGCTAGAGAGTTGATTTAATTCATCTCCTTGTCTATTTCCTCCAGCAACAGTAGTTGCAAATTGCTGATATTTGTTCTTTTTTGTTTGAATTTGTTCTAAAATAAAACATTTTCTTTTTTATTAAAATCTTTTTCATTACTTTTAAATGAAAAAAAGAGCGAAAATAAGAAGAAAAACTTGTATTTGAATTTGTTTAAATAAAAGAAAATTTTGTTTTTGTTGAATTTAATTTTTAACCAAACAAAATTAATTTCAAATAGTTTCTTCATTCAATTGAGATTTTTTAATTAAAAAATAATCTATTTGATATTCATGAATGTTTAATTTAGGAAAATCTTTTTTCAAATGAAAATCACTTTTATTTCAATGATTTAAATGAAATCGATTAAAAACTTCTTTTTTTTATTAATAAATTAAATAATTCTTTGATACGAAAATTCTAAACTGAAAAGTTAAACTGAATTTGAATTTATTCAGCAGTTTTAAAACAAGATAATCTTTTCATCAAAATATCAAAAGAGATTTTTGAAAATAAAAAAAATGCAAAAACTTCATTTGTTGTGAGAAAATTTGTCTGGATTTGACTTTAATATTTGAATAAATCTTTTAAAAAACAAAAAAGGTAATAATTTTATAAAAAAGTTATTAATTAACTAATGTGTTGAGATAACATTCTGAATCAATCTTATTTTATTTTTTTTGGAAATATTTTAGAATCATTAAAAATAAAATATTTCATATAGAATTTTAATAAATTTAAAATAAAAATCTTGAAGAGAATGTTTGAAATGTGAAGGATAGAACGAAAATAAAATTCTTATTGAATCCTGATCATTCTTAGAATTTAAAAAGCTGACAAATCGATTTTTAATTAAATTGAAACATTTTATTTTTAACAAAAGAAATTTTATTAAAATAGATTTGATTTTTATATTGAAAGTTTGAATGATTCGAGAAGGAGATGAAATTAATTTTTTTTTGATTTTAAACAAAAATAATTTATTTGAGAAAATTTTTCTTTTATTTTAATATTTGCAAAAGATCACATTTTCTCAATTTTTCATTCTTGTTTAAAAAAAAATAAATTGTTAATAAATTAAATGATTTTTAAGATTATTTATCTAACAAAACTGTTTTAAAATAAATACTTAACTTAAAAAATGAATTGAAAATATTTAATAGAATTATTCTTAACAATTAGATTGTATTAATAAATGTCAAAAAAATAGAATTCGAATGATTTAAATTAAAAAGAAATTTATGAAATTTTATTAATAAAAAAATATTCCTGAGAAAAACTAAATTTTATTCGATTTAACAAAGAACAAAGAATATTTCTCTAATTAGAAAATGTTTCTTTTCAATTGATTTTTTATTAAAATAATAAAGTTTCTATATGAATTTAATATTAATTGTTTTTCTAGTCAATAGATTTTTTAATTAGAAAATATTTCGACGTCTTAGGTATAGAATTTTTCAAAATAAAGTAAAACTTTACAATTAAAAAAATCTTTACTTATTTAAATATATTTTTAATAGGGGAGAAAATAAAAACTAACTTTGAAAGTGATTATCATGAAACATATGTTACTTTCATTAGAATAATATAATGAAAAAGGTTGAGAGAAATGACGATTAATATTTTAAGATTCTTTGAATATAAATAATAACTTTAGCATTGCACAGGTAGGGTTTTAAATAATATTCATAATTTACTTGCAACTGAACGAAAATCTAGACGTTAAGTTATACATATTTTATGAAAATAGTTTTTGAAAATAATTTAGTAATTGAATATATTTTGAGTCTATATCTATTGACTAAATTTTATAAAAAAAACACTCGTTAAAACTTTTAGCACACATTATATTTAAATCATAAGAGAACGAATAATATTTCCATTCTTATATATGATTTATTATTAAATACGAAGATCTTTGACTCAATAGATATTAATGGCATGATTTATAAACACGAAGAAATTTGAAAAGAAAAGATGCTCGTTCATATTTGTTCTCTCGATTTGATTCTAACATAAATAGTTTCTATCATCTAATTAAAATAATTGATTGATAAGCAAAAGATAGAATATCTTGATGAAATAGATTATGCTTTTTAGTAGGGGTAGGACAGTTCATAGTTCCAAGTTCGGATGAACTGGTCAAAAGAACTACCAGTTCAGTTCTTCTGAAAGGAACTGAACTGTTAGTACAGTTCCTAAGAACGGAACTAATATGGAACTGTCCTACCCCTACTTTTTAGCATGTTTCGTCTTTTTGGACTTCTAAAAAACATTTTCTAGTTGACAAAATGTTCAATTTTATATTTAAGGTACTTGATTCAAAATAAAAAATTTGTTTTTTTTCAACAAACTTACCTATAGAATCGTTTGTTTTAATAACACTAACATTAGTAGCTAATGGATTTTCCTCTTTGAATCTAAGTAATTTTTTACGCCATTCTACACTCATATTAAGTTCACCGCTCCGTGATGCGACTTTAGCAAGATCTTCATATAAACTGATATGTAATGGATCATTCGATGGAAGTTGGTTCAACAAACGGGTTAAATATTTTTCGGCTAAATCAAATTTACTCATTTCACATAACATATTTCCTAATGTTCGAAGATTTATTTCATCACTTTCGATTTGTTGTTTCATATACATAAGAACTTGTTTTAAATCATGTTCATCATCATTACATAAAGTCATTTTAATGATCCATATTTGATCTTTATCATCACGATTAATATTATTAAGACGAAAAATAGAACCAATCATAAAGAGAACTTCTGATTCAACTGGAAAATAACTATGTTGACTAATATCAGCAAATGGTTTTGTAGTGACTATTTTAGGATCAGCATCAATTTCAAATAATACTCGTTCTGAATCAATCTTTGTAGTTATATCACCTAGGAGGAAGAGAGCTGTTGAACGTTCATCACTGGTAGAGAAAAATGAATTTACAGAAATGAACTGGCCAATATTTTGTTTAAGACTATTTAATTCATCGTTTGACATTAGCTGACATCGATAAACTTGCAAAGGACGCTTAGATTGATATTGTTGCAATTGACGATAAATATCATAAATGAATCTACGAAATAAAAAAATCATATGAATATTTTGTGTACGCAAAGCTGCATTTAGAATCTTGTAGAAGAATGATTCTTTTGTATACCACCATAACACTTTATTAGATAAATAATCTTGATGAAATTCACGAAGATTGTTTAGTTCGGTATTATTTCCTTCATATTCATTTTCACAAAGACTAATAAGTTCATTTTTGTCTATATCAGTTGGTTTTAATTGTAGAAGACAGTCAACGAGAATTTAAGAAAAAACAAATTCTCCATTAACTCCTGTTGTTGATTTCCCTGCACCAACATTTGTTGTGAAAATATTGATTGATAATGGTTCTTCTATCTTTTTCTGAATTTTATGATCTGTTGTAATTTGAGAGACAAGTTCATCAAGATCAACAACAACAGATTTTATCTGTAGAAAAAATGATGAAATGAGATAACGATCTTTTAGCATAGTTTTACTTTTGAAAATTTGTGAACCCATTGTTCATTACTGTTCTTATCCATACAATAAACATAAATTGATATAACTTGTCGAAGTTGATGAATGGAGGGTACTATTTCTTGTCCTAATGGACCACTAACAATAAGTATTAATCGATCTTTTTGTGATGTTTGATCAATATATTGTTCACATTGTTCTATATCTTGAAATTTCTTGATATGATTGATAATCGAACGTAATTTTACTTCTGTGTCTCGATTGTCTTTAACATCTACATTTGCATCAAGCCAAATAAGTGAGAATATTTCAAGATACTTATCATCGGTGTTTGTGTAAAAGTCATCATTTAGTAGAAGAGCAGTGGCCATGTTAATTCAAGAACTAAATAGGATAGAGTTTTTAGATGTTATCTGTTTGACCTATACATAATTATCGAAGAAATTGTGTTTTTGATAGCCATAAAAAGGATGTCATATTTCTGTCACTATTGCGTCATTTGTTACTTTTTTTACAGTTTGATGCAAATTGAAGGATGGAAAAACAAGATATTTTTATTAATTGAAGAAAATGATTCGTCTCTTGTTTTAACTTGTTTTTTATTAAACCGTTGAAGAAGAATATAAAGCAAATGATATATTATCTTTCATGAAGCTGTTCGTTATCAGTTGTTAGCACAGGTCGAAAAATATTTCATCTGCCTATGTTCTGCTTTTCTTTTCTTTTTTATACAATCACAAAATGAAACAAATGGCAGATATTGATAAGATTAACCTACTATAGATTATTATAGTATAGGCATACACGATTTGATTGTTAATGAAAGATAAAAACAAAGTTTTGTTTTTTTCTCAAACATATTGCGATAAAATCAAAGTATAAAATGATTTCCTAGGTTTTGGAAAGAGAATAAAAAGAGAATAGTTCATATTTATTTAAACAAAGGATATATCAAAAGTAGTAAAGGTGACACTTCAATATTGTAGAGAAAATTTCGGGAATCTTTCTCTCCCCATATGCATTAATAGTAAAAAACAGTGTTCTATATTTCTTCATTCTTTACGTAATAATTATTATCTACATGAAAATATTTCTTTGTAAAAAAATACAAAGTTTGCTAATTTTGAGTAGTATTGTTATTTTTCAAATCACATAAATAATTTAACACATTGATTCTATTTCTTCATAGACAAAAAAAAAGAAAAAGAAGGAAAATATTTTTGTAATTTATTTACTTGAATTATCTTACTGGAGAACAAAAACGATCTTTCTTTTTGATAGAATGAATTACGAATAAAATATTTTCTCTACTAATCATATAATGTTCATAATAATCAAAACATAAAACTAAATAAAACTTTCATTATGAATAAATATATTTCATTTACTTTAAACTTTTCCTTCATTTTGTTTGATAGAAATATTTTCAGACTTTTGATTTTTTTTCATTTTTTATTCATTTAAAAATACTTTATTCATATCAAATTGCATTATAGAATCATTACTAAACTCTTTATTTCTAATTATAGATTATTTGACACTCTTACAAGAGTTGTATCAATCTCTTTTGATAACGAATTCAGGGATTATGTCTACCTTACAGCAAAAGAGTCTATTATAAACAACTTACCAGATCTGATTATTGTAATACTTGAATGATATATGAAGGAAGTAGTTATCAAATATGTTTTATTTTGTAAGAAAAAATAAAAGAAAATAACATGAGGAATATAATAATAAATCAATCAACCGTAACGAATGATGAAGGAGAACGACAACAAGAGATACAGAAATAGAAAAATAATAATAATTAGCATCGTAATGCTCCATCTATTCACTTGAAGAAATTATCATGAAACTTCAATATAATTAATCATTAAAAACTGATTTATTAAATGCTTTAATAAGATTTTTTTTTTCTATAGAAAAAAAGATATACAATAATTCATTTTTGTCATTTATTTCTAATATAATTTCTTAATAAAATCATATTTATGCAGATTAAATAAAAATAAGAATAAAATTGTGAAATATTTAATATAAATGATGAAAAAGTGTAAGAGTAAATAAATAAATCTAATTATATTATGTTAAGATCGACTTATCGATATTTGTTAATTCTTGAATAAATTATTTTCTATTTCTATTCTTATGAAAATTATCACTTAGAATAATAATCTTTTAATAAAAAATAAATTTGATAAAATAATATTCTACATCTTCATATTTGATTGATCTCAAAATTATTCAAAAACTAATTTTTTTGATTATTAAAACTTAGTTTAGAATATCGATTAAGATTATTTTAAATAAGAATGATAGTAAAGAAAAGCAAGAATTAATTGAATTAAATTGTATTTGAAAGTATTCTGTTAATCTTACAAATCAGAAAATATTTCAAATTCTAAATTAAATCAAAATTTCTGAATATTCTCAAAAGATTTGTAGATTTTGTTTGTTTTTTTAAATTAAAAATAAAATCGATTTTACCATTGAATATCTTTCATAACTATCGTACTGATATTCACCATGGAAATATCACATATGTTTCTATTCTAAATTAGATTGAACGACGAAAAAAGATATGAAATGAAATTTAAACTTATTATTGTGAATCATTAAAATATTCAATACGTTAAAAATCTCTTTAGAAATTGTTTTTCAACAAAATATGTATCATATGAATGATATTGTTTAACAATTCTTTTACTTTATGAAGAATTTTTGAAAAATCTAAAGAAACAGAGAAGAAAATAAAACCTATTTTTCATCATTTTTTTATTCATCGACATCTCATATCGAAATATTTTAAAGAAACACAAAAAATTCTAATAAAATGTTATTCAAAATCGATTTCCACAATGTTCATCGTTTGATTAAAATAATATTTCGACTTATTATCAATGAATCACAACTAACTAAGATTTATTTTCTTTCCAAATATATTTGATATTTTCGTCAGATATTTAATTCAAATTTTAAATGTAAATGGGGATCCACCTACATTTGATCAGTTATAAAATAACTTCTAAAAGTTACTAATATATTCTACTGAGGAAAAGAGTGAGAGAATACAACATATTTTTTTTGCTATATCAACAGACATACGTAGTTGTAGAGAATAAATTGAAATATTTATTTTTTCATTTATTGTTAAATATTTAATTCTTCACATATAATTTAATAAGTTGTGAGAAAACAAATGAAATATCAATTGATTTTCTAAATCTTTTATTAATATTAGAAAGAAAAGAAAAAAAGTCGAGAAGAACAACATGATGATCTCTCGATTGAAGAGGACGAAGAAATCGTTCGAATAAATATTTTTTTTATTTTCGACTTGAAATTTTTGTTATTCTGAAGAATAAAATCATTGAATTGGATGAAAAATGAAGTATAATAATTAATTTCGAAATAATGAAAATCTAATCGATATTCATCAAAAGATTTTGCTTCTAGTCTGATTAAAGGAACGATTCTTATAAATCTTCAAAATGAATTTTTCTTAAAAGATTCCTTTTTTCAAACAAAACCATAATTTAATTCATCAAAAAATCAAAGTAA